CCCTTGAGTTCCAGGGTGTCTGCTTCAGAATAAAGAAGTGCAGAAGGATAAGGATCAAGCACTACCCTCTGCTAAATCACCGAACGGTAGAACAATACTTTGATTACCGAAGAAGGTATCAAGTCCCCATCCGAGAACGCTCTGATGAGAACTTGGGGGACTCCTGTTTATACCAAAATGAACAGCATATAAGGACCAGACTCGTGGACAAGATTGAACCTGGTTATGGTGGCCTTCAACACCTTGCTTACCGATCCAACGATTAGGGCAACTCTCTTCTCCAAGACACGTGGCATGCCCACAATCGATGTCCACAGCCCCACATTGAAATTCTAAACAATATGCACACCTCCCAAGGCTTATAAAAAAGGACCACTATCCCCAAATGGAGGTAATCAGAGCTTACGGCATACAGCCTATTGATCTGTCAGTTTAAGTTTTCTAAATCCGTACTTACTTAAACATCGGAAAGCCTTGGGCCGGTACCACACCGGTGCCTAAGGCCTTACCGAACGTTTGTTGTCTTGCAGTTCACAAGCTCTACCGAGGCCCAAAGCATAATGAAGGCCCAATATCACTAAGTTAAATTGTTTTATTAGTCAAGGTCTTTCCAAGTTAAATTGTTTTATTAGTCAAGGTCTTGTACTATGACTATTATATGCCAATTGGTTTTTTTTTATTTTTTTATTTTAGAAGTAAGATAAGATAACATGGGTAGCTATGTTCCATAAAAGTATGACCTATTATCTGATTTTGTTTTTAATTTTAATTTTTTAAATATGAAAAATGTGAATTTACCATATTATCCTTATTTAATTAATAATTTCAATTCTTAGGGGGGTGTATTCAATTGAGATTTTAAAAGATTATTTTGGGATAAATAAGTATTGTGGTATTCAATTAAGACTTTTAAATAATCTAAACCAGTCTTGTGGTATTCCATTAAGACTATTAGGATTTTTTTAAAGAGAGTGTCAAAATCTTGTGGTATTCAATCAAGACTTTAAACAAGTAACAAAAAGTCTTAGGGTATTCAAAAACTTGTTAATTTCGAAGGATTTTTTCAAATGCGAAATTATGTGAGACTTTTTAGTGAGATGTATCCCTATCTCAAATCCCACCCTAACCCACGAGACTAATTTTTTTTTCACGTGAGATTGTTTTTTGTGCTCATCCACTTTGCCTTCTCTCAAAGCCAACTTCAACACCAAAGCTTCACTGCAACCAGCCATCTCTCTGCAACTCTACTTGCAAACCCACTTCACCTTCTCTACTATATACCTGCAAACCCACTTTACCTTCTCTACATATAGCCATGATTCATGTTGTTTACTCATAGGAGGTTTGGGAGAATTTCAAGGGAAGTAACTTTTCGTCTTTTCTTTTCCTTTTCCCCTTTTTTCTTGGGGAATAGAATACATTTCAGCCAAAGCATATTGTTACCTATGCATGTCAACTTTCTTTATGATTTTTTTTTTTTTTGGAGCTTTGAGATTCAATGAAACTATCCATTAGACGAACAAGACTAGAAATTCACACACAAGATGACCAACGAGAATACTTTTTTTTTTTTGTTCTTGTTGCCTCTGTCAACATGGATAGAAGAGAAAAAGAAGGTGGTAGGGAATAGAAGAGGAAATACTACCACCCAAAAAAACATAGGGCAGAAACTTCACTTGCATAGAACCACATGATATCTCATAATAGTAACAGTTCATAAGGTAACACAAGCAAGTTCCTTTTATACTATTTGATTGGAGTTACCAGTTGTGCAGCAGGCCAGCGTTAAGATGGTAAAACCAGCAACCTCCCCTGTTCTTAGTTCACTATATTTGTCGGGCTAGGTATTTATAAAAGTTTCAAATTTTGGTTTGGGCTATGGCCCTATTTAGTCAGATCCAAATATAAATCTTATGATATAAATCCATGTGGTCCTTTCAAATCTTATAAAATCTTATGATATAATCTTTAAAATCCAAAAGTTAAAAATCTTGATTATACAAAATTATCAATAAAATCTTATAAGTCATTACATTCTGATTAAATATGCTGAATTTTTTTATTTTTAAATAGTCTTTTAAAATATCAATTGAATACACCCCCCTTAATGTTTGAAATAACCAAGGGCAATTTCTGATATTTTGAATGTTTCACCATTCTCTGCCTTTTGCTTTATATGTATAGATAAATAAATTATGAACATTGTCAAGCATCCAAGTTGTTAAGTCTCTATCAATTTTTTCTAACAAAAAAAAATCCTCGATCAATTTCATCAATTAAATTCAACAAGAAAATTCAAAAAGCAAAAACGCGCAAAAGACCTTGACTTTGGCTTTTGAATACCTTTTTCCAATTTAATAACTTGGATCCTTGACTATGGCTATTGAATAATGTAAATTATACATCGAAAATTTCAGAAAGTAACAATATATAAGTAAGCGATTCAACAACTAATAATGGTATCAAGACCTTAATAAAACAATTTAATACGAGTATGCAGAAGGGTTTTATGTGAACGCGAGACCTTGACCTTGGCTTGTGAAACGACGAAAAAGCTCGACTTAAACTACAACTTATGGGGTGCGTACTGGCATTATATATATAAGGAAGAAGGTAGGAAAGGAGGAGCAAAACTTAGACCTGACTACCATAAAAATGGTTTCCAAGGCCAACGGTGTTTGCATGATGAGTCTCTTCATCCTATTGCTGCTGTTCTCATCCAAAGTAGCGTTTGCCAGAGTTTCCCAATTTTCAGAAACTAGTAAGTCTCTTTCCCAATACTATATACTTATATATATCTACAGAACTGTATTCACGTACGTATTTCTTTGATCACGATTAGATGTATTCAAGATTTTCAATTCAACTAACTTATACAATGCGAGATGAGGCCTCACATTTTCCAAAAACAATAGAAATCACTCTCTAAAAGGCCGCGTATATGTATGTGTATATTGATCAATGATTAGTTATTAATAAATTTTTGCATTGTCATTGAAGAAGAGAAGATGGGTACGGAGTTTCCAAAGATGAAGAATATTAACCTGGCAAAGAAAATAGGAGCACGTGAAAGGCCAGCACCTGCTAGCCCAATACCTTAGTGATGCCGGAGCACAGGGGTGGATGAAGACAAATATTTACTATTTGAGATAATGTTATTTTCTTATTTATGTGGTTTTGGAGTATATTTTATTATTTATGTGTGATTTTATAATTACTTAGTTTATTGTTTATCCAAGTAGCTTTGGTGTCCAAGTCTTGTAAAGCCTATAAATAAGGCTAACGTAATAGTTTTAGGGGGGTGGTTTTGTTGATGATTAATTATCACTTATTTGTGGCATGAATTTGCTACGATATATGTGAATTTGCACTTACCCTAAATTTGAGTGTTTGTGTGTGTCGTTGGTGACCTATGTTAGCCCAAGCTTTAGTCCAAGAAATGAAAATTCGTGATGTTAATTTTCCATAAGAGGTGGTAATAAATAGGATAATCTGGTCAAACCAGAAGTCAGTAGTACTTGTATGAAAGGATAATATAATATTTTAATCTAACTTAAAAACAATATACATTCTAATTAAAGTTTATATATATAAGAAATTAAAACTCCGATAAGTCTGACTACAGTATGTTCATACCAGAGGATCTTATTTTTCCTCAAAACTAGGTCACACGCAATTCAGAACGTAATGAGTTGTTCCAGTGTAACATCGTCTGGTCCTCTATAGGGAGAAGCAGTTTGGAACGATAACGCCTGACAAACCATTAGCATTGTTGGCCTCGATTGTGGATGGGGATGTCTGCAAGCAATTGATAGCCTTGCAATAATAGTTATGATAGTACTCATAGGTGGTGGATGGGAACGAAGAGGAGGGGGAAGGCGTTGGTCCAACACGTCCTTGAGCAATACGTTTGCATAGGTGGTGGATGGAAATGAAAAGGGGGAGACGAAATCGCCTGGCACCTGCTTTCCCATAATCACTTCCAGTGCCAGCACTCCAAAGCTTTAAACATCACATTTCTCAGTTACCTTCACAGTGTAAGCCAACTCTGCATACAAATTAAGGAAGAGCAAACCATCAATATAGAAAGAAAAAAGGTGCTATATTTCGGTATTTTACCTGGTCCTACATATCGATATATATGTGCCTACAAGAGCAGTCCAATTCGATGAGTCTGGATTCAAAAGCTTAGCAGTTCCGAAGTACGAAACACAAGGCTCGTAGTCACAATGCAGCAAAATGTTGCTGATTGATAATGTGAGACATTTCTTCACATCCTCACATGAAAAAGACTTTGAAGTTCCTACACCTCTATTAGAGTCATCGCCTTATAAATGAAAAGTTTGAATTTTCTTGTTGAATTTAACTTATGAAATCGACATAAGAATTGAGAAACGGTGTAGAAAGGGTGAGGAAGTTGTAGTGCAATTTATGTACGTTAAGCTTGTCTCTTAACTCCATAAAGAGTATAAAAGTCTTTATAAATATAGGATTGAGTACACCCCCATGTCATGCTTATCATGAAGGAAGTTGAAGTTCCACACCCCAAAACCAATTGACAATATTGGTTAGAGTAGTCCAACTCCTTATAAGTCATTTCAAGTTTTGTTAGATTTTTAATGTGGGATATTTCTTCAATTCCTTACTAGGAGAAGACTTTGAGGCATGTTTACGTATCCATAATGGGTATGTGAAGAAAATGAATGATTTTCATTCTTAACTTCCATCGTGTTTACTTGCAATCAAGAATGAAAAACTGCATGAGCCCCATCTCAAAATTCGTAATCAAACCCCCTCAAAACTAGGAATAAGATCAACTAGGGGGAGTAGTAGATCCAATTTCCATTCCTTTTTTCCCTTACTACATTCCAAAAATACCCTTACTATTTTACGATAATTCCAAAACACCCCAAACCCTAAAAAATATTCAATGGCTATTTATTAATCACCATTGGAAAAAGCAAATTTTTTTCCTTTCACATTGGTTGCTAGCCTCTACTTGTCTTTTTATGCTTCTTATAACTGTGTAATTTTTTTTTTCTATTATATTCCGTATATTATTATATACTAGTTTTATTTATTTATTTATTTTTTTATCACTCATCGTAGTATTTCATATTATGCATTAGTTATAAAGTAAAGTTTTGTCAATCTTGTTTTTCTAAGTTACTTAAGTAAAATATATATATTTATATATGCAAGGCATTTTAGTAATCAAATTAATTTAGGTTCTGATTCATGAAAATTAGTAAATAATAACAATGGGAATCAACTTCATTCTTGATTCCATATGGTTAGTAAACACCTTAATTGGAATGATTCTTCCCATACCGATTAATTACTTCCACGGTTCCTTATTTCTTCAATTCCTGGTAAGTAAACGGTTTCTGAAGTCTTTACTATAATGTTAAAATCATCGTGTTATTGACAAGACCCGCCCTTAATTCCTCGGAATCCATGACGAACCTTGTGGTTTTTTTCGACATCGAACCGATGCCGAGCCCACTTACTACCAACATCCTCTTCTCCAAAAGCAAAGAAGGACAAGACCTGCCCCGAACTCCTCAGAATCCTGGAAGAATCCTGTGGTATTTTCAACATCGTACCAATGTTGGGCCCACTTACTAGAAGGGACGAGACTTTCTGCCGAAATTTCAGCAGAGTCTCCCCTAAATAATGGACATTCCCAAAATTTTAAACATGTCAAAACCATATATAAACCTCAATCGGCAACATGCACAAGTTAATAACATGCAATTAACAACAATGGCCTCCGACCTTACAATCAAACCTTAATATGAGCGACATTAGAGCAATCTAAAGTAAATTCAGTTTGCAAACGGAACGCAGTTCGACAATAACAAATAGATAAAGGTTGTCCTACACAAGTCGGGCTCGGAGGTTAAGATCTCGGCTCAGCTGCACGATATGAGTCTCTCTAATGCTTGAGGGGTGCAAAACAGAAAACGTGTGAGTGGACAAAAAAGTTTGGTTATATTTGAAAACAACATACTAACCCCACTATTTTGGAAAATAATGCCAAAAACATGCAATTACCATATCTATGTAAATTGTGAAATCAAAGTATTCTCGCTTATCCCCAAGAAAATATGATAATATCCAAACCAAAACCTTTGAATCCAATCCAAACGTTCCCGAAAGATAGACTTAAAAACGACAAAGGTAAGAATGACTTCAAAATAATCAACTTATATATTTATATATATATATATATATACGAATATATATAGTTATATATATAGACTACAATGACTCATACTATATGAGTACATACCCCAAATCCCGCAAGTATATGAATATATATAGTATACATGTTATATATAGATATATACATATATGAGGTAATATCACACCAACTTGAGTACCGGGGAAACAATCTAATAGGGGGATTGTTTGACTAGCCCGCAGGGTTTCAACTTTCTACCCTGCATCTTGGGATGAGCTGTCCAACCGGGGGACTACCATTCTACAGCACACACGCCTCAAATTCCAACGCCACATAATCCAACACCACGTGTGGTTACAATAACCAGAGGAGGGTACTTAGCATTGTGCAATCACATATTCACAAAACAATCACAAAATACCCTAACTCATATTAATCTCTTGCCCATTTATTTAATCACAAAGTGAATAGCACTTTCTCAACATATAAAATCCATATTCCGAATAATTATAACTTCAATATCAAAAAAGCAGAATTATTCATAATTAAATGATATAATATATATATATCCATTCCATAATCATAAAAATCTCATATTAGATGCATGGTAATTTAATCAATAAAAATGATGCTATTTCAAAACATTGTCCACACACAAGTAGTCCCATGGTGTTTGACCCTGAGAAGGTCTTGCCTGCTGAGTAGGAGTAGCTACCAATTTAAAACACGAGGGCTAGATTAATATAAAACGTTTCAAATCAAGACTTTAAAATAAATTCCTAATTTCCCGGGATTCAAGTGTGTATATGATGGACAAGAAGTTTATAAGGTCTGACTACGTGTTTCTCATGGTGGAATAGCCTCGGAAGACGCTCGGTCAACCGAGTGGTCAAACTTTCTAAATTTGGTCAACTGGGCCATGGGTCCCATGACATCTGTTTTCCGATCCCAAAGTTCCTATGGGTTCAACAAGTTTTATTATACTTGTCCTGCAAGTTTGGTTCGAATCGAATGGTCGGATTGCTCGTGATCGCACGATCGGACGATTATTCTTTAATGCAAACTTTAAGTCATTGAATTGGGGCATCCGGGACTCCAATTCACAATCTGCGAATTCCTACACGATCCTAGAGATATCTAGATCAACATATTCGGAGATGGAGTCGTTCCAACGGTCCGAATATAACGAATCCAGATAACGCCTAATATACGTAATCCGATAGACATTCAAACAATAACAAAATTCAAATTCGAGCATACCATTGTGTGCAAGACAACATGGGGATCATTTTAGGACCTAACTGCCCACCACTAAGTGGCCCACGAACCGCCACACTCGCCGACAACGCGTGAGTGCCCAAAGTATTTTCAGCGATCAGAAAATCTCCAAACCGCCAGTGAAGACCTATACCTACATGATCAGGACAATGAGTGGATCAACTTTGTTCTTGGACCATGCCCAAAAAGTGATCAAAACTTGCCAGAAACATGAGTCGAAAACTGGCCAAACTTTAAGCAATAAATTTGAGTTTCAAAATGCAGAAATTGATCCTAATCAACCCAACCATCAACTAGAACACATTGAGAGGATGAAAAAGTATACCTAGATAGAAGAAATTGGTGGCCTGCTATCACTAGAACGAGTGACGGAAACTTTAAGTAAAAACTAGCCTGATTTCGATTTTCTAGCGGCTATGGTTGGAATGGAGATAGGAGAGCTGGTCGGTCATTTTGGGACCATTCCCGGCTCAGGTGGTGGCGGCGGTGAAGCAAAAACCGATCAACTGCACTGTTGGGGGGCTATGTCACACGCGGAGAGAGAGAGAGAGGAAATTCTGATTTTAAAAAACCATTTTTGAAATATTTACGATGGTGCCATTATGATTCCTTTGATCGTAACCTCTTCGTTTCAACTCCGATTTGAGCCCATTACGTGTCTACGGACTCATCTCGGCGGGAGCTGTATTCATGTATGTATTTCTTTTCCATAAAAATGGTTTCCAAGGCCAACGGTGTTTGCATGATGAGTCTCTTTATCCTATTGCTGCTGCTGTTCTCACCGAAGTAGCGTTTGCCAGAGTTTCCCAATTTTCATAAACTAGTAAGTTTCTTTCACAATACCATATACATATATATCTACAGAACTGTATTCACGTACTTATTTCTTTGATCACGATTAGATGTATTCAAGATTTTCAATTCAACTAACTTATACAATGCGAGATGGGGCCTCACATTTTCTAAAAACAATAGAAATCACTCTCTAAAAGGCCGCGTATATGTATGTGTATATTGATCAATGATTAGTTATTAATAAATTTTTGCATTATCATTGAAGAAGAGAAGATGGGTAAGGAGTTTCCGAAGATGAAGAATATTAACCTGGCAAAGAAAATAGACGCACATGAAAAGCCAAAGGGTGCTGGCCCTTATCATTGTTCGATGTGTGGATGAATACTTGTCAGCGCGCGGACCCTTCTCAATATTTCGCAAAACAAGAACACATGTTTTTATATTTTTTTTCTGTTTTTATAATTTACTGTGAATTTTTAAAGTTTTTATCTTTTGGTTAATATTCAATCAATACATGATCATTAAAGAAATTAATAAAGAAATTATATGGTAAATATTTTTTGTGTAATTGATATTTTTTACCAATTAATCTAATACTAACTCAATAAAGAAGTTATAAATTCTATTATTTGGATAGCTCTAATAACTTGTTGAATTTTCTAAACAAATTATTACTAACTCCATGGCTTGTAGACTCACAAAAATGAACCACATACAAGTTCTTCTCCAAAGTAAACCATTCTGCAATGCAAGTGTCCCAGGCCAGAGTAAATTGGCATTCAGACCAACTCCTGACTGTAGGTACATAGATCAGTCACCCTGACCGTAGGTACTTGCCAAGCGCTCATAGAAAAATATTCAAAAGATTGCTCAATATTTAGGATATTTTGTTTGTGACCACCGTGGATTTTGAACTTGAAATCTCTTGTAATATGGGAAAGAGAAATACTATTAAACAAACAAAACAAAAAAAACTAATCTGAATGGGACACAAGGGGACACCAATTTTGGGAACAGCTGATCTGTCCCCATGAGATACATAGAGGGTTTTAACTCCCTAGCCAGACCAACACAAAGAGGAGGAAATAATTAATTTAATTTTCTGTTATATAACTTTTCATTTTCCTTAAACCTCGACGGAACGAGGAGAAATTTATTAAAAAGAATAATTAAACAGCTGGGGGATAACGGACCAAGGATGGCATCAAACTAGACACACAAAATCAACGAAAGCGAAACCCAGGAAAACCCACTAAATCTTTAGCATAAATGGTAGCAGCCCACGAAGGTAAGAAGTCCCACCAGTAAATAGGCACGGTTCTTGGCATCAAAATTTGCTAACATATCTGCGACACAATTACCTTCCCAATAAATATGAGTGCAAACAAAATTCATCTGTTTAATGCGCCACAAATAGTTCTGCCACTTCGTACGCAAAAACCAAGGAATGGAATAAGATGTAGAGGACAAAAAATGAACCACCAAAGAAGAGTCTGTCTCAAGCCAAAGATGCTTCCAATCTCTCACCCAAGCAACTCTGATAGCCTCAAGAAAAGCAAGAACTTCAGCTGCAGTTGAGCTAGGTTGGTCTTGATTAGAAGCAAAAACACCAAGAGCCTTGCCCTCACTATTTCGGAAAACACCCCCAAAGCCTGTGCCTGAAGCTTTACAAGAACCATCAATATTGACTTTAACCCAACCAGTAGGGGAAAGAGACCCACAACACACGAATAAACTTGGGGGCTGACAGAGTGAGAGGCAAAAAACCCAAAAGTTGGAATATCAGTAGAGATGGAGAATGACCAGAGACAAAGCAAGCATTCGCAGATTCCTTAAAACGAGAAAGGAACCATCGTTGGGCATAATCCAGGCAAACAACCAAGTGATCAAAACGAATATGATTTCTTAGATGCCAAATACCCCACACCAAATTGCATGCTACCAATAATCATAGTTTGCGGGAAGAGGGCGAAAAGGACTCCACAAAAGGACCAACAAAAAGATTATCCATCGAATCTACAGTGCATGAAGACTTGTTAAAAAGCTGGAGCAACCATTTCCACAAGGCCATGACAAACGGACAAGTAAGAAAAAGGTGGTTAACAGTTTCACCATAACGATAACAAAAAGAACAACAAGAAGCTAGGGACACACCATGCTTTTGGAGAAATTCATCCGTAAAAAGCCGACTCTGTAAAGCTTTCCAAACCACCAAGCTTTTCCTAGGCTGAAGAGCTTTATCCCAAATTACCGTACTCCAAGGCACGGGGGCATTATGAGACAAAAGCCACAAATATGCTTCTTTGGCTGATAAAATACCAGACATAGCACCAATCCAAATAAGATGATCAGCACGCGGGTCAATAGGCAAAACAATAGCCTCAATAGAAGCTGCCAAATGAGGAAAAGCCCTTAAAAAATTCACAAGCAAATCCCAACGACAATTATTAATAAAATCAGCAACTTTAGCATGAAATGAGGGACAAATGCCTAACAAATGCATCAAAGAATCACCCATCCAATTATCAGTCCAAAAATCTATTTGAGAACCATTACCAATTACCCATTGAGAATTCTCCAGGACTTGAGGCAACAACTTCTTAAGGCCCAACCAAATAGAGGATTTTCGGTAAATTTGAGGAGTAAAGAACCTTTCGCAAGGAAACGAGCTCGAATAAAAACAGCTGCCAAAGAAGTAGAAGAAACCAAATCCCAACAACATTTCAATAGAAGAGATCTGTTCAAGACAAAAGATCCTTAATACCCAAACCACCATGGTCTTTAGGAAGACAACAAGATTTCCATGCCACAAGAGGAGCACCACGAGAATTCGGGTCTCCAGACCAAAAGAAATTCCGAATCCAACTTTGAACTTTAGTCAACAAGGAGGAGGGCCATTCATAAACTTGGAAGCTATATATCAGAAGACTTTGGATGACTGACGAAATTAATTGCAATCGCCTTGCATGAGAAAGAAGAGAACCCTTCCAAGCAGAAAGTTTACAACAAACACGGTCCGCAATAGCTTGAAAAAATTGTTTCTTTGGTCGACCTTGGAAAATGGGAACACCCAAGTAAGTGAATGGAAAGGAACCAACACCAATTCCAAGAGTACAAAGAATGCTTGCTTGCCGAGGCCGCGTGTAATGACCCAAGAAGGCTAAAGATTTTGATTTATTGATAAACTAACCCGAGTTTAATCCATACTCAACCATAAACCACATCAAAACCCGAAGATTCTTTGTAGTGCCTTGAATGAAGACCATTATATCATTTGCAAAAAGAACATCGCTATGAGGCATAACACCTCGTGGAGCATTAACCCGACGCATAGCTCCAAATTCTATTAAAGAAGAAATTCCACGACTGAAAACCTCTTGTGCTAAACAAAAAAAGAATAGGGGAAAGAAGGTCACCTTGTCGAACACCCTGAGAACAAGATAAGAGAAGCCAAGCAATTCTTTGATCCATAAAACAAAAATCTCACCAAACCCGAAGGCCGTTAGAACACGAAGAATGAAGCCCCAATCTAAAGTATCAAGGGCTTTCTGAATATCAAATTTAATTGCAACATTACCACCTTTGCATTTACGATCCAAAAGATTCAAGCACTCCAAAGTAAGTATAAATAGAATTAGTCATGGAGCCCCTTTAATAAAGGAATTTTGATTATGAGAAATAATGTGCGACACAATAGGCCCAACACAGTTAGCCAAAATTTTGGTGACGATCTTAAAAACAAAATTAGCTAGTGCAATCAGACGAAGCTGAGAAACCGTATCAGCACCAGGAACTTTTGGAATCAATATAAGAAGATTATAGTTAAAATGAGGCATGACCAATCCTTGAAGAAAAAAACTTTGAACTGCCTGAACCACTTCATGACCAACCACACTCCAACAGTGCAAGAAAAAAATCTCACCAAAGCCATCAGGACCCGGAGAACTCAAAGAATCCATAGATTTAACAACACCAAAAATTTCCTCTTGGGAGGGAATAGAAGTGAGAAGCATGTTCTCCCCCACAGTGACTAAAGATGGAATAACCCCTTCGACAAGACCTGTATTAACTACTTCAGCATCAGCAGTGAACATCTTCTAAAAGTGATTAACAATATGAGATCTAATTGCATCCTGATCATCCATAATGGTATCTCCATCTTTAAGAATTGATAAAGATTGATGAAGCTTCCGGTATTTCACCATGGAGTGAAAAAAAGAATTGTTTCTATCACCTTCAGCAAGCCAACACACTCGAGATTTGTCCCTTAACAAGATCTCCTGCACACGAAGAGAATTGTGAAGCTGCTTTTACACCTGATCTTCAGGCAAGAGTCGCTCATCTGAAGGCCCCGAATTTATAATTTCAGTCTGAATGGACTCCAAAGCTCTCACGGAATCATTCATTTTAGCATTAATGTCCCCAAAATCCCGCCAATTCCACTCATTAAGCTTAGCTTTAAGAGCCCTTAATTTAGACGAAAGAACGAACATTGGACACCCATGGAAAGAGAAACTCATCCACCACTGCTCAACCATTTGCAAAAAACCAGGAGCTTTCAGCCAAATTTGTTGAAAACGAAAAGGTGGACGTGACACCAGCTGTAATCTATCAAAGGTTCGGAGGAGACGACAATAATCAGATGTCGATTGTGGAAGAGTACAACAAGTCGTGCTAGGCCAAGCATCCATCCAGATATCATTTCCAAGACACTTGTCTAAGCGCATTTCGACAGTACGCCTAATTCCTCGACGAACCCAAGTATATGGGAGGCCAGGCATTGGAAAATGAATAAGTTCACAAGTTGAGGACATAAGCTGAAATTCAGAACAAGAGAGAGAATTAGGCAAGCAACCACCTCTCTTTTCATGAGCTCCCAGACATAAGTATGGATATTGTGGAATAAAAATTTTTGTGAGGCCCGCATAGCCACACAAAGAAATTTAGATGGGAAGCTAGCTACTAAAACAAGCAAAGAAATTTATTAGGTGTGAAAATAGAGAAGGGATACCTTATCAAGTTGGGTTCAAATGTAAGAAGTTTTCCATGAGATAGGAGGCAAAAAAATGTTAATAAATATATGAATTAATATGACATAAAGAAACTATAAATTTTGATTAATTTACAAAAGAAAACATTTTTCCATTTTTTCCCAAGCTTGGTAGAAATCTAACTCATCCAACACGGATTCCTTGTAGTACCTAAACTCCTCAGCCCTTAACCAATCACTACAAAAAATCAATGCCTCCACAGTTTTTAGACTACTTGCATATTCATCTAGGCTCTCGAGTATCATCCTCACACTTTATCTTTGTAAAATGCTCCCAAACCCCGGAAGCATTCCTACAAGGCTTTCTTTTTCCTAAAGTGATAGGTAAAAAGGCTGATTGTATAGGGGTAGATTGATGAACTTGATTTGGTGGTGCTAGTTGGTTAGTTGAAACAGGGGTTTTAGATTCTCCTTCCATGAAAATAATACCCTATAAAAATACAAATATTGCATGTTTCAATAACCATAAACAGTAAACATTAACACCAATAATTTCTATAAACTACAAATAAAGCAGCAACCATAAACAAAACAAATAAAGCAACAATCAAAAAATACAAAAAAAATACCAGAAAGAAACACAACTAGCAAGCCAATCCTTCCCTTAGCCTTCAAAATCAATTTTGTCCAGAAAAATCACAATAGAGTCAAACACTGGAAAATAGCAAACAATCCAAACAGTTCAAATAACTGTTATTAAAAATTGTGGTTTTTCCTTTTCTATAAAATTCCTATTCAAAACTTTTAGATATAAATAATATATAAATTAAAGATTAAACAGTAAAGTAAAATAAAAAGACAAATAAATAAATAAATAAAAGTTAAGATTAAGAAAGCAAGCGTGTTATAGTGAAAGCACGTCAAAGACGCTGTTCTAAAGCCTTTGTAGCCTCCCTACGTGCAGGTAATGACAGTCTACAAGACTCCAAGATACGACCCCAATATGCAGGCTTAAGGTCCGCTATGAGCACGTTCACAGATGGATAGAAATCTCCAAGCCACAGAACCGTTGCCCAAGAATAATATGGAAAGTAGGGAATATATGAAAGCAAGGGAATAGATAAATCTGATTGTAGTGTGTTGAAATGTGAAGGAGGAGTGGCCTTTTATAGGCATCCAATACTCGTAACCTCCAGACACATTTAACCATAATAGTTGGTGCAATGAATAGAAAATAAAAACTGAAAATTAAACAATTTGTAACTCCCATAATAAATAAAAGAAAATGGCCAAAAATTAAAACAGAAGGTTTTAAAAATTTAAAATAGTAAAAGATAACGAAAATATACATATGGGCAACATAATACTATGCAATTGGTGTAGGTGCCTTCCAGGCTTGAATCTTCACTTAGTGATGATAGTTTTCATTTGAGGAACCTGAGTGTACACAGTATTGAACTCGGCACCTTTGACCAAACTTCAACATATCCCACACATAGTATTGGTTGAGGCTTGGAAGCGGGGTAGGGCTATTTATGGCCATGGGCTAATCCTTATTCTCATGAGAGTTGCTAAAGAATAGCCCAATTCTCACAGTCGCAGCTTCACGTCGTCTCTCACTTAGGTGAGTTCTCCAAGAGTACATGTGACCTGCACCCTGTGGGAGATTGCCCGCCTCCAAACTCATTCAGGGATAAATCCCTTCCTAACGTCACATTATATAGCATTGATGTCATAGGGATGAGTATGAGGACATCTCTAGGATGCCTCCACATGATATAAACAGTGCTCAATGAGTCATGCAGTATGGATTGTTTCTACCCATTGAACTTCCTTCATGATATCGCCAATCACAGAAGTTGGGTTACCTCCCTAGGTGACTCCCTTATGGGCTTAAGCCCATCTCCCTCGACATTTCTAGGACTCTGCTCCTAGAAAGACCTTTAGTCAATTGGTCAGCAATGTTGTTCTCCACTTCACATACTCCAAAGATACAATGTTCTTACTTAATAGGCTCTTCATAGATTTATGTCTCCCATGTATGTGCATGTTCATTTTCCTATTTGTATGAGATTGTTTCACCAAGTCTATTGTAGCCTTACAGTCACAATGAATAGATAAAGCAGGCAATGGTTTCTCCACCAGAGGCATATCCATCAATAAACTCTTAATCTATTCAGCCTCAGTGCAAGTAATATCCAAAGCTATGAGTTCAGACTCCATAGGACTTCTAGAAATAATTGTTTGCTTCTTTGAACCCCATGAAATTCTAGCTCCACCTAATAAGAAAATGTAACCACTAGTAGACTTCACTTCTTCATTGTATGTTATCCAATTTGCATCACTATATCCCTCTACTACATTTGGAAATCCTTTATAGCATAGTGAATAATCCATTGTTCCTCTCAGGTACTTGAAAACTTTTTCCAAAGCATTCCAATGTTCCTTGCTTGGGTAATGTGTATCCCTACTTAATCTTCCAACAATATAAGCAATGTTTGGCCTAGTCTTATTTGCAATGTACAACAAAGAACCTATCATCTGGGAGTACTTCAATTGAGAAAACAGTTGACCTTGATTTTTCTTTAAATGAACATTTGGATCATAAGGTGTTGGTGTGGGCTTACATTCAAAGTGATTGAAATTCTTCAACATCTTCTCAATAGTACTAGATTGACTTAGAGAGATTCCTTTTGTTGTCTTCTCAATTTTCATTCCTAAGATTACATGTGCTTCTCCCATATCTTTCATGTCAAAATTCCTAGATAAATATGACTTCACATCATTCACAATCTCTAAATTCGTCCCAAATATCAAAATGTCATCAACATATAGGCACAAAATTACATGTTCTCCATTATTCTCTTTATAATAAACGCATTTATCGTGACCATTAAACTTAAAATCATAATCTAGAATCACCTTATCAAATTTCTCATGCCATTGCTTAGGAGCTTGCTTTAGGCCATATAAAGATTTAACCAACTTGCACACTTTATGTTCCTGACCTTTAACTATGAATCCTTCTTATTGCTCCATATAGATCTATTCATCTAAGTCTCCATTTAAAAATGCCGTCTTCACATCCATTTGATGAATCACTAAATTATGCACAAATGCTAAAGCTATCAAAGTCCTTATGGTGGTAATCCTAGAAACAGGTGAGTAAGTATCAAAATAATCTATCCCCTTCTTTTGTGTAAATCCCTTAGCTACCAATCTTGCTTTCTATTTATCAATACTTCCATCTGGTTTCAACTTTTTCCTAAATACCCACTTGCATCCTATCGCTTTATTTCCAGTAGGCAAATCCGTTAACATCCATGTATTATTTTGGATTATAGATTGAAACTCATCATTTATAGCCTCTTTCCAGAATGGTGCATCCACAGACATAACGGCTTCCTTATAAGTTGTGGGATCTTCTTCTACTAGAAAGGTATAGAAATCATCTCCAAAGTTCTTCTCAACTCTCGCTCTTTTGCTTTTTCTAAGCTCTTGAGATTCTAAATTTTCGATCGTAGTTGAGCTAGAAGGCTTCTCACTTATTTGTACTTCCTTAGAAATTCTTGTCTTGTACGGGAAAATATCTTCAAAGAATATAGCATCTCTTGCTTCCATAACTGTGTTGTTTGCAACCTCATTTACTTCAAAGTTAATCACCAAAAACCTATTGGCATTGCCATTTTTGGCATAACCGAGAAAAACTGCATCTATAGTCTTAGGAATTATTTTCTTTCTCTTAGGATTGGGTATGAGTACCTTAGCTAAACACTCCCACACTTTTAGGATTTTAAGGTTAGGTGATCTTCCTTTCCATGACTCATAAGGAGTTTTCTCATTGTCCTTCAATGTTATCCTATTAAGTATGAAACCAACAGTTAACATTGCTTCCCCCCACAAATTCTCAAGTAGTCCACTACTAAGAAGCATAGAGTTTACCATATCCATCAGGGTTTTATTTTTCCTTTCAGCCACTCCATTAGACTTGGGTGAATATGGTGGAGTAACTTCATGTACAATTCCATGTTCTTCACAAAATGCTCCAAGCTCATTTGAAGTATACTCCCCACCTCTATTGGATCTAAATCTTTTAATCTTTTTCTCCAATTGATTTTCTACCTTACTTTTATAAATCTTGAGTTTATCAAACACCTCATCTTTTGTCTTAATAAGATAAATATAACAATACCTAGAGAAGTCATCAATAAATGTCATAAAGTACTTGTTTCCACCTCTAGTATAAGACCTATTTGAATCACACACGTCACTATGTATGAGCTCTAAGATTTGGGTGTTTCTCTCTATAGGTTTGAAAGAATTCCTAGTTTGTTTGGCTTCAACACACACTTCACATTTATGCTTGAGGTCTACGTTAGACTTAGGGATTAGCTTAAGATCCATTAACCTTTTGATTTTGCTCAAACTTACATGTCCTAACCTTCCATGCCATACATTACAGGATTCAACATTAAAATCTTGAGGAGAAATTTTATTATCTTTAAAAACTACATTTATTTTGAACAATCCATCACAAACTTATCCTTTTCCAATAAAGATATTGTTTCTAGTAATAACAATCATATTCGACTCCATTACAATTTTGTATCCTTGTTTTACTAAGGACGATCCATGATAAGGTTTCTTCTCATGTCAGGAACATGTCGCACATCCTTGAGAGTTAGAGCCTTCCCAGATGTCATCTTCAATTTCACTTCTCCTACTCCACGTACTTGTGCGACGGTGTCATTTCCTAGGGTTACACTTCCTTCACTTGAGTTCTAGTAATTTTTGAAAAATCGTTTGTTAAAACACACATGTACGTTTGCCTCAGAATCTAACCACCAATCACTATTACTTAAATATGTGACATTAACTAGAGGCTTAGAACTATACCTTAGATTGGGTTCATCTTGATCCACCAACACATTCACTTGGGCTTTAGGACCCCTTTGTCCTTTGTTCCACTTAGGCTTTAGCTTGTAGGGCTCGGCCCTCTTGTAATGACAGTCTTTGGCTCAATGATTTGTTCTCCCACAAACGAAGCATGGTTGATCCATCTTGCCATTGGAATTGTTATGGGGTCTATGGTGCTGGCGATTTTGGTTTCGATGGAATTGATTATGGTTGGGTTGGCTATTTCTGTTTGTCCTCTTGAAAAATTTCCTTCTAGATTGGAAACGATTCCTATTGTTTGAACTTTCAACTAGGTTCACTTTTGTCTTTTCTTCCTTAGGCTTGTTACTTGATCTATGTTTCTCTTTAATCCTAAGTGAGTTTAATATTTGGGTTAAGGTTAAATCTACTTGTTTGTGCCTAAGGGTTTTTGCAAAGTTTGACCAACTTGGGGGTAATTTATATATGAGACAAGAGACTTTAAACTCTTCACTAACTTAGTACCCTTATGTCACATCCCGGGATCGGCTTCGTCGTAGCACATTGTTCGCTTTAGGCCCCCCTCTCTGCCTTCACGATTTTGTTTTTGGGAACTCACGAGTAACTTCCCAGTAGGTCACCTATCCTGGGATTGCTTTAGCCCCAACTTGCTTAACTTCGGAGTTCCCATGACTCTGAAGCCAGTGAGCTCTCAAAAGGCCTCTTGCTAGATGGAAGCGGGCATGTACATATAAGGCACATCACCCCCTCTCCGTTGGTCGATGTGGGATGTTACACCTTAAGTTCTATTTTCCTTAAAAAATCTTGGTACTCATGAATTTGTTCACTTACAGTTTTATTCTCAACCATCATATAGTTATTAAAGTTTGAGATTGTAAAACGATCTATTCCCGCATCTTCTATCCCATATTCAGCTTCTAATTCATCCCACAAAGTTTTTGCATTTTTTGTATCTTGATAAACATCATATAGGTCATTAGAGAGAGCACTAAGGATTCTGTTATGGCAATGATATTCTAATTCTTCTTTTGTCATCTTCTCCTTAGTTTTAGAAGTGGTTTCAATAGTTTTATTGGGTGTGGTTTGATCTTCTAAGGCAGAAACTAACCCTAAAACAACTAATATTTAAGTTGTCTTTGCCACCTCTTAAAATTTGTCCCATTAAATTTTCCAGGTTTAATGCTATTGGTCTCTACACTATCCATCTCAATTCCAATAAACAATAATGAAGCAACAAAATCTGAAATTTAAATGTAATAGAAGTTGAAATTTAATAATGATCAAACAATTGCAAATAAATAATATAGGCTATTTATGAACCAACAATAACTGTTTTTATTTTTTAAACGTGCCAAATTTATAACAAGATATTTCACTTCAAATTTTTCTTAAAACAACGGTTACAAAATCTGGTGTACTTAATTAGCTTTTGAAAACAAACTTAAGATTTTGTTTTAAAACAAACGTGAAGTGATTTGGTTTAAAAGGGATTTTTTGAATCTTGGATTTTAAAGTCCTTAATTTTGAAAACTGTGTAGGCAAGAGACAAATAAATAAATAAATAAAAGTTAAGATTAAGAAAGCAAGCTTAGTATAGTGAAAGCACGTCAAAAACGTTGTCCTAAAGCCTTTGTAGCCTCCATACGTGCAGGTAATGACGGTCTACAAAATTCCAAGATACGACCACAATACGCAGGCTTAAGGTCCACTATAAGCACGTTCATAGACGGATAGAAATCTCCAAGCCATAGAACCGTTGCTCAAAAATAATATGGAAAGTGGGGAATATATGAAAGTAAGAGAATAGAGAAATCTTATTGTAGTGTGTTGAAATGTGAAGGATGAGTGACCTTTTATAGGCATCCAATACTCGTAACCTCCAGACACATTTAACCAAAAAAGTTGGTGCAATGAATAGAAAATAAAAACTGAAAATTAAACAATTTGTAACTCCCATAATAAATAAAAGAAAACGGCCAAAAATTAAAACAGAAAATAAAAACGTTAAAATTTAAAAATCCTTTCAGATTAATAACAGTAACAAACATATAAACATCCATATGAAAATAAGGACATGCTCTTACAAACATCCAAATTTCTCTTATCTAATGCTTTTCTTTTCTATTTGCAGAAGTTGACAAATACTCTTATTTTATTTATTGACAGAAGTTGAAATATATATGTTGAAATTAACTATCAATATTCCCAATTCCCAGCAACCTATATTATGCTCTGTAGAATTGTAAGTAATTAGCTGATTAGTAAATAATAAGCCATGAATGTTAATTGTGTATGCACATGGTGTCTTAGAATGACAAGTGTGGGGCCCCAATATGTAAGGCTAAAATAGCCACGTGTAGTGGTCCTAGAAAGTAGCTAGATGTGCGGCTGAGATCAAATATGATGTGTGTGGATCCAGCTATATCAACCGACTGTTTTTATGATAACCGTCATTGTTTTGAAATAAAGACGACGGCTATAGATTTTTGCTGAAAACCGTAGTGTATTCACTGAAAAGAAGACGGTTTCTGAAAAACGACATCTATTATCCCTAAAGATGACTGTTTGTTAAAATACAAGTCGTCTATCAACTATAAAAACGACGATTTTGTTGCAACCATCGTCATGTATCAACTGCAAAATTGATTTGATTTACATTTTATGTTTTTTTTTTCCATTTCCAATGATTCTCTACAACGATTTTAACTAGAAAAACCATAATGCTTTGTGAACAATAAATTCATGTCCAAATATGCTATTACCCACGCCATACGTATATACTCAAATTGTTTCTTTCTTAAAACTTGAAGATCATAATTTACCAATATATTCAAATTGTTTCTTTCATAAAACTTGAAAATTCAATAGTAATTACATAGCAGTTCTATATCCAACAGACATGAGCACAAGCTCCTAGAGCATATTTGGCACGCTTAACGGGTTCTCCTTTGATCCACCAGTTTACAGATATCTCAATCATTCTAATTTGAACCATTTGCATAGGTAAACCACCTTAACATCAAAGCACCACCTGCAGAAAATCAACATCTGGTCATTCTTCCCATAAAAGAATCTATAATATCAGGGAAGCACAGAAAAACATAATTTCATTTTTGTCATAATTCCAAGCATCAAATTGACATACATATCAGATTCTCAACAGCAAAAGGATAACAGAGAAGCAGTAAAAAGATGCATGTATTCTAGTTACAAAGCAACAGAGGTAAGGATAAACTATTGCAAATTGATATTTGAAGTGCAGTTACCTGTTCAAACAGAATGCTATCTATACAATCTAAAGTGGAATTAACTGTTCAAACGGATGTTAGTGAAAAGCATTCTTGTAGCAGCCCTAGTGAACATCTTAAATCCACACTGCAATGCTGAAGAATACAACGTCAAGGTAACAGTTAAGTGCCTTCACTTAAGATTTGGTACACTACGCAGAAAATTGCAAAACGTATACTGATAGAATTGGATCATGAACAAATTATCCCTAAACCCATTTTAGATTTATACAACGCAAATCACCCACTGAATTTATCACAACACGTCAAAAGGAAAGAGGAACTCTAGTTTCAAGTAAAATACAGCTGCACAAATTAAGAAAAAATAAAATGATTCTTCGCATGCAATACCTGAATATTTGGCAAACAAATGCAACCCTTAGCACCACAAAGACAAGAAAGGAAAGTATTCGTGTTAGAGTAAAAAAAATTGAGAGGGGAAGGGGGGAAATGAAGTCACCTCAAAAAGTGCAGTTGAAGGTGCGCATGGAAACGCATCAAATATGAACTGCTTTAGTTTTAATCCCATTGTATGTCCATGGATAGACGGAATTTTCTTCTCAGCGAGATAGTAACTGCATTCACAACATGTTTGCAACAATATCGTTAGAATAGCTAAAACTATGGATGAGAAACTCCAAATGCACGGTGCTGATGATGCATAAACTAAAAAACAAAAAGTAAAACTTAACATCTGCATTTTACTTTGTAACGACACCATGTGGTATGTACTTAGACAAAAGCTAGTTCAAGTTAAAGAGAGAGTAGATTTTTAGAAGCTAGCTCAGGTCTAAACCTTGCATAATTTAGAGAAGTCCATGGAACCTCTGCCATACAGAACAGAGCCACGACAGTAATCTCAGCAATATGGTTCACTTATCTTATCCATTTCTAACACGCTAGACATGATTATCACTATTGGAACAATACATTCATTTTTAATTTGAAGCAGAAAATCATAAAAGGAAAAATCTCACAGAAGAAAGCTAATAATCCATTGCTGTGTTGCACAGATATGTTTCAAGATATATATGACAAGTATAAAAGATTAGCAGATAAAGGGATAAGACAATAAAGAAATATATAGTTAAATATTACTTGTTTATTTTTTCTTTAACATTTGAAACTAGCACTCAGATCTCGCTTTTATAGAAACAATTCCAAAGAACCCATTTTTTTTCTAGAAAAAATTACCCTCACCCTTTTGTTCTTGGAAAAGAAAATGGATGTATCCATGTAGTCAACTAGATACGAATTCAGAGTATCTGATGCATTTTGAGACATACCATGGATCAAGAAAGAGAACCAAAAACAAAAATACAGAGAGAGAGAGAGAGAGAGAGAGAGAGAGAGAGAGAGAGATCAACTGAGATTAAAATATACATGATATGACTCGACTAAGATTATCTGAACCCCACCTTCAAATTCGCGAATCAAAGACCATCTCTCATCTCTGTTTGAGAAATTATAGCCTGAGAAGGGGGAATGACCAGAGTTCTTATGAAAGAAAAGCACTCCAGAAGGAAAAAAAAATAAAAAAATCTATATGAATAGACAACCAGCATAATCCAAACAGAGCAACAACTCATAATCAAATTGAAACAATATAACAGGTAAATCATAAAGAACATAAAAAAGAAAAGAAATTTCAGACCAACTGTTGCAGAGGCCTTGGCGGCTTTAGAGGTTTTGTTGCAGAAGGAGCAAGCTTAGGGTTTCGATGGGTTTGATCTGAAAGAGCCGGAGATCGATGAAAGAATATAAGTAAAAGGATACTAGGGATTTGAAATAGCAAAAGCCCCAAATCTCTTACTGAAACTCTCACTGACCACGGCGGCGCAACGAGATGGCGAGCTCAGAAACCTTGAGTAAAGTCGCAGTGGAGCAGACGACGTTATCGATCACGACCTGCAAAGCAAAAGAAGTGAATGGTCAAGAGAGAGACGCATAGCAAAAAGTGAAAGACAGACGAAGAGAGAGATCTGTGACGACGAGGGAGGAAGAGAGATGAGGAAAATTCAGAGGGACTGTTTAAGAGAATTGAGAGCGCTGCGAAAATTAGGGGAGGGAATGCATTCGAGTTGGAAGGAAATCTGAAAATTTTAAGTCGAGAGCGAACTCACTCACGAAGCCTAGCGTGTTTTAAAAGACAACCTCTGTAATTACAAATGTCGTCTTTTAAAACAGAATTCTATTTTAGTGGTGTATAAAATTGTATATCACGACGCTTTTGTAATATCTTTTAAAACACACCTATAGTTTTAAACTACACCGTCGTCTATTTTGTGTCGTGGTTTTACAATTTTGTAGTAGTTTTAAATTCAGCACAAGGTTTAGTTCTAGAAATTAAAATGTGATGTGAATTTTCTACAACAGGTGGTAATAAATAGAATAATCTGGTTAAACCAGTTACTCTGATATAAAACAGAACAATACATATGCTAAAGTTGACATGAAAAGAAGTACTCAAATGACTACAATATACATATGGCACACGCAAATCAGATCGTAATGAGTTGTTCAAGGGTAATATCAATTGATCTTCTATTGGAAGAAGCAGTTGGGAACGATAACGCCTGAGAAACCATGTGCATTGTTGGCCTCGATTGTGGATGGGAATGTCTGCATGCAATTGATAGCCTTGCAATGGTTATGAGTTCATCTTGAAGTTGAGGTGTAGGAGGGGGAAGGCTTTGGTCCAACACATCCTTGAGAAATATGTTTGGATAGGTGGTGGATGGAAATGAAAAGGAGGAGACGAAATCGCCTAGCTGCTTTCCCATGATCACTTCCAGTGCCAGCACTCCAAAGCTATAAACATCACATTTTTCTGTTACCTTCATTGTATAAGCCAGCTCTGCGTGCAAATTAAGGAAGAGCAAATCATTAATATAGATATATCCAGAATTATTTTTTTAAGAAAAAACTTCTATATTAGAGTATTTTACCTGGTGCTACATATCCATATGTGCCTGCACGAGCAGTCCAATTCGACGAGTCTGGATTCAAAAGCTTAGCAGTGCCGAAGTCCGAAACACAAGGCTCATAGTCACAGCGCAGCAAAATGTTGCTGCTTGTTATGTCTCGATGCACAATTGGTGGTGAGCAATCATGATGCATATAACACAACGCATGAGCAACACCTTTTACAATTCTCACCCTTGTGCTCCAGTCCAATTTTTCAGCTTCATTCTCGTTGCTCAAGATTGCAGCCAAGCTACCTGTTTCCAAATACTCATAGACCAAAAACGAGTGTTGGGCACTTGAACAAAAGCCAAGAAACTTCACAATGTTTCGGTGTCGTATCTGAGTTAAGGCCCTTATTTCATTAAGGAACTCCTTCCGAGATGCCTCCTCACCATCAAGTGTTTGATGGAATTTCTTCACTGCAACAATGCTGCCTGATGGGAGCTTTGCCTTGTAGACACTTCCCTGTCCTCCCTTCCCGATGCAATGGACGACATCAAAACCATTGGTTGCTTCCATGATTTCTCCATACATTTTTCTTCCGTCAAAATTAGATATTGAGAAAAAGCTTTCGTGCATATTGCTCTGTTTGATTTCCAGTTCTTGCTTTCTTCTACTTTTTCTTCTTCCAATCAAAACAAATGCCAGGAAAGCAAGTAAAAGCTTCCCTGTCCTCCCTTCCCGATGCAATGAATGACATCAAAACCATTGGTTGCTTCCATGATTTCTCCATACATTTTTCTTCCGTCAAAATTAGATATTGAGAAAAAGCTTTCGTGCATATTGCTCTGTTTGATTTCCTGTTCTTGCTTTCTTCTACTTCTTCTTCCAATCAAAACAAATGCCAGGAAAGCAAGTAAAAGTGTTCCCAAGATAGGGAAAATGATTAAGAACGCCTTCTTTGAGGTATGCTTATGCTCCACAGAATGATTGCAGGGTTTTAGTCCTCCAACGTTGCCACACAATCCGTTATTCCCATCCATTCGAGCATTTTGAAATGCTTTGTTGTTGGGGATTGGACCCTGCAGTTGATTGTAGGATATGTCGATGTGATACAGGCCATGCATTTCATCAAAATTTGTTGGAATGAGACCTGTAAGATTATTGTAGGAAAGATTCAACTTCTCCAAGCTTTGCATACTGCTCATTTGTGATGGTATCTTACCCTCAAGTGAGTTATGACTTAGATCAAGTTGGGACAGATGAACTAACTTCCCCAACTGAAATGGAATTTCTTGACTGAACTTGTTGTTGCTCAAATTCAAGTAGTGTAATTTGAGAAAGTCACCAAAAATGCCTGGAATTGACTCGTTGAATTTGTTGGTGGACAAGTCAAGATATTCAATATCAGTCAACGATCCAAATTCTGACGGTATAGGACCCCAAAGTTGATTGTCATTCAACATCAAATTCACCAAAGAAGTCAATCTCCCAAAGTTCTTTGGGATCACCCCGACTAAACTATTGGAAGAAAGATCGAGTTCACGAATTTGGGTTGCATGGCTAATCTCAGGTGGTATTCTACCAGTAAGCATGTTCCCTGCAATTCGTAGTGTTGCTAATTGCGGACACTGTCCCCAGAGCTGTGAGATTTCACCGTGCAAGTTATTGTGGCTCAGGTCAATAAAATGAAGATTTGGATAGGCACCAAAGTCTTCAGATATATTGCCCGTTAGTTGGTTCCCTTCAAGATGAACTCTCACTAAGCTCTTGCAATTTTGCAAACCTTTGGGGATTGTACCTATGAAATGGTTGGAGTTTACACTAAAGTTTTGTAGTGATCCGCCACGACAAATATTTTGTGGCAAATAACCAGAAAAATTGTTAGTGTCAAGTTCCAGCACAATCAACTTCATGAGATTCTCCATCTCTTGGGGGATGGAGCCAGAAAGTTGGTTAACGCGTAGGAATAAGGTTTCTAGGTTGATCAAGTCACCAAGTGAAGTGGGGATGGAACCATTAAGGTGATTATCGCTCAACTGTAGGTCCACAAGAGATTTTAAGTTCCCTATCTCTTTTGGAATTATGCCGGAAAGATTATTATTAAAGAGATAGAGAAGGGTAAGGTTTGCTAGATCGCCTAATGATGACGGGATTGAACTGGATAGATTGTTATCATTAATGCATAATTCCACTAGAGACTTCAAATTTCCTATTTCTGAAGGAATAGAACCAGAAAGTGTATTGTTGGACAAGTACATCATGGTTAGGTGTTTTAAATTTCCAAAATCTGAAGGAATGGGACCTGTTAAAAAGTTGTTCTGCATGTACAGTCCAGCTAAATGGGAAAGGTTACCGAGAGAAGCCGGGATTGGACCTTCTAGATTGTTGGTTTGCAGAGCAAGCTCATTAAGAAACTTAAGCTGACCAATTTCTTGAGGAATTGAGCCATTTAATTGATTCTCATTTAGGTGCAGGACTTGAAGACTATTTAGAAGACCAATTTCTGGTGGGATTTTCCCAGACAACTGATTATAAGAAAGGTCAAAATAGATGAGTTTGGAGAGGGAACTTATCTGAGATGGGATGGCACCAAAGAGTTGGTTCAAGCTGAGGTCAATGTATTCGAGATTAGGGAGGGACAGGAATGGAAATTCATATAGCGTACCTTGAATCCCAGAATTGGTGAGGTTGATCCTGTTGACACTTGCAGCAGTGTTGCATGAAATACCAGTCCAACCGTTGCATGGGATTGTATTTACTTTTGGATAGTAAGCCCATGAGATCAGATTATTCTTGGTTTGATTTTGAAAGCTAGCTTTCCATTTGAGAAGAGCCTCTGCTTCAAGAGAAGAAGCAAAAGCAATGTTTGGTGATGAGAGCAGCTGGACATACAAGAAAAGGCAAGCTAGACAGCATAATAAATTTGTCATTGTTTTTTGTTTCCTCATACAATTGTGTATTTGATGGCTTTATTTATAGCTATTATTCTACATGCACTTTTTAAGTCTTTCCTACACCTCAGTTAAAGTCATTGTCTTACATTTTGAGACCTCCTGTTCACTACTTTTCCGCAAATTTGGAATATGGGAGAAGACTTTGAAGTCACCTCTGTTAAAGTCCGTCTTATAAAAGCAATGTTTGAATTTTGTGGACACAAGGTTGACCTCACCTACTCTTCAAGCTCCAGACTTGAAACCCAGTCAAACTGGTTGAACTAGACTGGTGGTTTGGTATTTTTATTTTTTACTTGTGTAATCGGCGTTAAATCAGATCGAACCGGTTAAAGACCGGTCTCTTTGGTCTGATTTACAGTTCAATTTATGTCAGCCAACCAGTTTACCTGAATCGGACCGGCCATGGCATAAAGCTCAATTAAATGTGAAAATATTGCACCATTGAGCATTGAACCTCCAACATCTTCACCCAAAGAGAGTGCACATTCCACTGTGGTATTAATTTCTTTCGTGTTTATTTTGAGTAATCATATATTTAATGGCTTTTTGTTAGAAATAAAAAATAATGTAAAACTTTTAGGGATAAATAATGTAAAAAACTTTGAAGCGCCACATCCGTGTTCTCCCCCTCTACAGCGAAAGGAACTGAACCTGCACTACTTAACCCTAAAGTTAATAGTCATAATTTTGAATAAAAATTTAAAAACTTAAAATTAAAGAAAAAACACAAATCTAAAAGCCACCCTAACCTAAGTGCCAACGACAGTTATCCACTCCAATTACTCTTCTTTATTTTTTTTTTCTTGTTTGCCAAAGTTATAAAGGAGAGAGAGAAACTTGAACCCAGGACTTGGGAGCACACTAATGGCTTGAGCCAATCCAGCTAACACCTCATTAGTCTCACTCCAATTAGGTAGTCTAGCCGTGGTAATTTTATACTATCTTTTCTTTTAAAGTTTAAAGTTTTTGAATTTTATTTTTCTAATATAATTTCAAATAAGGAAATGAAGTGGAGTTCAGCTGTAAAAGCTTAAGCACGTGGCTATATTTGAGTAGAAGATACACATTTTGACGTGGTGTATCCATTCTATTCTATAATTCCTCATTTGGATAGGAGAAGACTTTAATTTCTCATTTGGGCAGGGGACGTGGGCTCCATCAAGACTGGGTAGGCCTGAAGGTAAGCCCAGCCTGAGCTAGTGCATGAAGGCGCTGAGATGAGTGAAGAAATACATTGGAAAAATATTGAAAAAAAATTCTGAAAAATTACCAAAAAATTCAGAATTTTTTGTTATAAATACCAACCATTTTTTATTATTAATCTCATACATATAAATAAAATTAATCTCATATGAATAGTAATTGCCCTTAGGTTGCCATGGCAATGGGTGAGAAAACAAAAAAAAATTTGCTAGTGCAGAAATTATTCGCGTGAACAGTGACCACCCTTAGATTGCCATGACAATGGGTGGCTCTTCCACTATGGGTTATAGTGGTATGAAATAAAAGACCTTGACTTTGTAGTTTTGGTTCACATAAAGGAAGGTGTGTGGGTTGTGAGAGCAAAGACCTTGACTTCAGTGTAATCAGTGGAAACTACTACCACTTGTGCCGCTTTAGTGTAATCAGTGGGAACTATTACCACTTGTGCGGTGTTTACTGGCATTGTATATAATAGAATAGAAGGAAGGTGGTTTGGGATTGGGAATAGGAGAAGCGAAACTTTGTACCTGACTGGCTATCATAAAAATGGTTCCCAGGGGTAGCTACCTTATGAGTCTCTTCATCCTAATGTTGTTGTTCTCATCCAAAGCAGCGTTTGCCAGAGTTTCCCACTATTCAAAAACCAGTTTGTCTCTTTTTTCGTGTTCGACGGAACTTAGAGTTCATCAAAAAGGTGTATTCGCATATATCTTTGATTACAATTAGATCAACTTTACATAAAGGAAGGCGTGTGGGTTGTGAAACGCGCAAAGACCTTGACTTTAGTGTAATCAGTGGAAAAATCAAGTTTTTTATTTATTTATTGTCATTGCAGAAGAGAACAAAGGTATAGAGCTTTTGAAGATGAATGATATTTACGTGTGGAAGAAAACAAAAGCAGATGACCCACACGGAGCGGGTTCACGTAAAGTGGGATAAATTAAAAACATACCTATATACAAGGGTGGATCCATATTGGGGCAGGAGGGGTCCCCTACAAGCTCGGAATCCACCATTGGAGGTGAAGATGTTGACCACTGAAAATTGCCCACAATCTGCTTGATGAAATGCTCCAGAGGTCGCAGCACAGCAGGCAGATTACCTTATTTCCATTTTCAGCATTTAAGTAAATGTTTTTTTCCTTTTACTTTCATTTATTTTTATATTACTCCATTTACTTAAGTTTACAATATAAATAAGGAAGTACCCCTCCATTTGGATTCAAATAAACATACTAGACAATTAAATTCCCACCAAATCAAAATATGAAAAATCGATTTTAGTGCAAAATACGATTTATGCTAAAAATGATAGCTCATTAAGTCAATATATACTTCTTACTAAAATCCCATAAAATCAAGTTTTCTTATTTGATGTGTAAGGAATAAAAGCCGCCAAACTTTATCTTGAGAAAATGATTATTTCGAAAAACAATTTTTCATACTTAGCCAATATTTTTACATAAAACAATTTTTCATGTATGATATGAATGCATGCAAGGACCTAAGGTCATTCTAGGTAAAAATCCTTAGATGTTCGATCCACAAAGAGTTTTACAAGAATAACCTAACTCTTACACATTGAAGAAATATTTGTTTGAATAAGCTCCCCCTAAGACAATACTCATAAGGGTCCAAAGTTTGAGAGCTATAACCCCAAAGAAATGCAGATAAAGCCCAAAATGAAAACGACGATCGACCTCAAAAATGACGTAAATGTCCTAAAATGAGCAGGATTGGGCTAATATATATTCGAAACATCGACTGGTCGGCCCAGACTGAGTATACTAAAGCCGAGGGGGTGGTCAGCTGACCCTTTTCAAATTTGGCAGGTAAATTACTCAAACGGTCCTCTGTACCCAAGTTACATTTTGGTCCCTAAGCATTATTTGTTCAAATGGTCCACCAACTCTTTATTAATCGACGCTTTGGTCCTACCATTACATTTTCTGTTAAATTTAGTCATGTGAGCAACACATGCTATATTTGTAGGGGTATATATATATATATATACAGAGAGCTTCCATTGAGGGATCCCTTAAATAAGCTTATTTGAGGGATACCCCTTGTAGGCCCCACTCCGGATTGTATTTCACTAATCCAAACCGTCTATTTTGTAGATACTCATTCAAAGATCATCTCTACAAAAAATCACTTGAATCCGATATCATTTGACCACTCAATTGAGTTATTGAAATTTTAGTACTTTCTTGAAGCACCGTGTTCATTGATTTTGTAAAACACAATTGGATGTCGAAACGGTTTCTGCCAGAGTTTCCCACTATTCAAAAACCAGTTTGTCTCTTTTTTCGTGTTCGACGGAACTTAGAGTTCATCAAAAAGGTGCATTCGCATATATCTTTGATTACAATTAGATCAACTTTACAAAAGCAATGTTTGGTGATGAGAGCAGCTGGACATACAAGATAAGGCAAGCTAGACAGCATAATAAATTTGTCATTGTTTTTTGTTTCTTCAAACAATTGTGTATTTGATGGCTTTATTTATAGCTATTATTCTACATGCACTGATTCCGTTTTGAATTTTGGATAGGAGAAGACTTTTTAAGTCTTTCCTACACCTCAGTCAAAGTCATTGTCTTACATTTTGAGACCTCATGTTCATTACTTTTCCGCAAATTTGGAATATGGGAGAAGACTTTGAAGTCACCTCTGTTAAAGTCCGTCTTATAAAAGCAATGTTTGAACTTTGTGGACACAAGGTTGACCTCACCTCCTCTTAAGCAAATTCCACCAATTAAGCAAAAAACATGCTCCCTATTTAGCTAAAAACACAAAAAAGCTTCTCTCTAAAAAAATTCAACTCCAACCACATTCCCTAATTTGGAGAGTCATAAATGCTTTACTTCTAGTTGTCATAAATGCAATACTTATTTTTTAATTTAATTACTGATTTTGCAATAAGATTTTCATATTCAATAATGAATATTGCCAAATAATTGTAGGTTTAATTGTTATTCAATTTTGATATTCTATGATTTTCTGCTTTGAAAACAAGATATCATATGAAAAGAATTATATATAAATAAAAAAAGGTGTTTGTGTGTTGTAAAATATATATAGCGAAAAGAAATTTTAAAAAAAATTTATCGTGCTCTGCAAATTCATAGGGTAGAGGATACCAAAGTTGATTGCCATTCAACTTCAAATTCACCAAAAAATGTCGATCTCCCAAAGTCCTTTGGGACCACCCTGACTAAACGATTTATTTTTTGTTAAAGACAATGTCTTGCATTTAAATGCAAATGAATTTTCTTGTTGAATTTTGATGAAATTGTGACATTTCTTTTTTGTTAGAAGAAATTGATAGTTAGCAACTTGGATGCTTGACAATGTTCATATTTTGTTTCTGACTAAAATGTACAACATTGGAAAATTGACAATAGGAAGGTGGTTTGAAATGTGCAAATACCTTGACTTTAGGGTTCATTTGGGACACGCTATTGACAAAAGTGCCTTTTATACCATGACTTTAGGGGTTCGTTTGGGACGTGCTTTTAACAAAAGCGCCTTTATTATAAAAAGTTGAAAATTTTCCATAAAAAATCCAACTACTCCATGAAAAAGTAATTAGGATTGTGCTCACTAAAAATGTTTTCCCAAAAAGTGAGCACAATTTAGACCTTGACCTAATACACATATGACTAGTCAACTGCAAGTCATGAACAACCATAATCAAGAGTACACACAGAGCATGCCACAAAGTACCTGCAATCTTAGAACATTACTAGTGACAACCTAGGCACTCAGAATGAC